GCCCCACCTGCATCAGCGCCCTCATCTCGCTGCCCTCCCCGCCGTAGAAGGCGATGCTCTCGGCGTTCTCCCTCACGCGCACCAGGCCGTAGCGCAGGTCGGCCTCGCGCGCCTCCTGGTTGAAGTTCAGGGACACCAGGTTCTGGGGGGGTGGCGGTAGGGTGCAGGACCAGACGAACAAGCAGCAAGCGTTTGAGGGTCAAAGTTGTGATGGATTGGATGCCTTGAAACAATGCGGATTGCGGGGCTGAGTAAAAAGCCATTGTTGAATGTAAAACGTCAGGCCGGGCTTGCGAGAGCCAGCGGGCCGAGCTGTGGGGTGCTAAAGTCTGCCATTTGAGCTTGGCCCCCTCTCCGCGTCCTACAAGGCACCGCGCCGTGCAGCCCCGCTCACCTTGCCCAGCGCAAGCGAGGCGGCGGTGCCCCCGATCGAGTAGGCCAGCAGCACGGCAAAGAGTGGGGGGTATATGGTGTACAGGATGCCGCTGAAAGACACCAGGTCAATCACTGAGTTGAGCAGGGTCAAAAACAGCGCCAAGGACGTGTCCGTGAAAGCCCTGGAGGTGGATGCACGCACGAGGGAGAGGGGCGTCGATTTGGGAAGGCAGGGAGATGGCATCAAAGGCGGGTGATGAGGTGCCAAGAGGGCCACGGTGCAGGCCAAAAACAAACATCCGTATCCGAATCGGGTGGCAGCCCCGGACCTCGCAAAGCGCATGCATGCCAGCGCCCAGCACCCTGACCCGCAGTGCCACCTCTATCAGGCGCCCCAGGCAAGCTTCCGCATGCCTGACGTCTGCCGCGATGCGCTGGTCTGGGTTGTCCACGAGCTGCCCCGCCTGCAGCTGGTAGAAGGAGCGGTCGCGGAAGTACTGCGCCAGCAGGCGGTTGGTCATCCACTCGCGCCAGTCTAGCGCCAGGCGGGACTGCGGGGGCCGGGGGTGGCAGCCATGGAGGGGAGAGAGCTCGGCAACGCGGTGCTCGAGAGGCGTTGACTTGTGCGTTCTGCAAGGACTCGTGTTTGTGTGGCCATACACCTCTGCCAGGTGCTTTGGGAAAACGCCTCAGCTAATGCAAGCCTCCCGCAAGACGTTTGTGGCCGGCGCCCTTGTGACTCACCTGGTAGTAATCGCTGAAGACGATGACGGGTATGCCGACCGCAAAGGCTCCGAGGTAGAGGCCCAGCTGCCGGTAGAATGCGTCCGCGTCGCGCGCTGACAGGGCGTTGAAGAAGTCGCGGCCCAGGAAGCTGAAGGCCACGCTGTGGCGGGGCCGCATGCAGCAGATTGGGAGTGGCACTGAGTTGTGAGTGGCAACAGCAGGATTTCAGTTTGTTGAGGGGGCCGAGTAGCATCAAGCCCCCGCGAGGCCGGCAGCGAAGGCCGCACCCAGACCAAGATGATGTGGCAAGCATGGCAGCGTGGCACTGGCGAGCTCGCACCGCGGTTGGCGGCGTTCGCTCCTGCGATCGGAGCGGTTTGATACGCTGTGCAGCCGATTTTGAGCCAAGCATGGCGGGCACTTCGGGTTCCCTATTGGTTCGCGCCAAGTGGACGGGTCACCCAACAGCCGGGTGCAACGCCTGGATGCTGCAATCCGTCTACCTGACTCCTGTGGTGGCCAGTGTGAGACCGATCACCCCCGCCAGCTTCCATCGGGCGCCGGGGCTCTCACGCCAGTAGGGCAGGGCCATCTGCATTGTGTGAGCACAAGCGTGGGCGTGCGCGGGGGCGCGTGCACTTGATCAATGCGCGTTGGGAGCTATGTGTCTTCAACCTCTACCAACGCGCACGTGCACACATCGTGTGAGCCCCTCGTCACCAACTCAGCTGCAAACATGATGCCTACACAAACAACACACACACACACACACACACACGTGCGCGCGCGCGCGCACACGCACGCACGCACGCGCGCATCCACCCATGCTCTCTCACGTACTCAAACCCCATTGGTCACAACCACAACAATGCGCACACACATGCATGACGCACCGTCTTGAATCGGCTGTAAATCACTGGCAGACGGGTCGAAGCGCCCTCAACACTGCTCGTGCTTGGATGCTGCTCCTGTTCAGCCACGCCCGTGGCTGCAGTTGCTCCTGCCTCAGGTGGCGGCGGCTCACCAGCCGTGGCGCGTAAGCAATGGCCGGGCTGGTGCACGACTGCCCCGCCTGCTGGCTGACTGGGGCGCAGCGGCGTTGGACGCGCGCTGCAAATCGCGCGCTGACGCCATGACGGAGCAAAGCGGCCGCGCAGCTGCACGCCCAGGCCATGCATGCCGATTTTCTCAGGGTGTCCACCCCTAACTGCGTCACTGCTTAGAGCGAGCGGAAGTTTGCACGCAGATCATCGCTAAGTGCCCGCCAAGATGATATGTTCATCGACTTTTTAATGCCTCAACCCTGCGCGGATGCTCTACAACACAATTGAGCGCCTGCCTCATGTCGTCACTCGTGCAGGCCGCCACCCGGTCCGAGTTGCTTGCTGCATGAGCATGTGAGTCTCAATGGTGCACATGCTGGTCCAGGAAGCGCGATACATATCTGCATACAGCCCCCCAGACTATGGCGTATGGTACTTTGAACAAGCGGCACCCGGGTCTCAACAGCCCCGAGCCAGCCTATGTACAATGCGGCAGCCCAGGAGTGGTTTGCAGTTGGCTGCACAACGCTCTGGACACTGCAGCCTTGACGATTTTACCTTGACTCACACGAGCTGCATGGAGATTATACTCATACAGAACAAATCAAACCATTTTAAATTCCAGCGACCCTTGCCGTTCCATACGTGTACTGGCGCGGCATGATTTGCATGTTTTTGCCAGCTGACCCTGTACAGCTGAGCTGCGCGTAGAACCATGCGTGCTGATAAGAGGTGGACAGCCGAAACAATGCCTTGCTAGAGGCCGTGACATTGTCAGATCTTTTTGAATGCGGTCACAAGCATACTGAGGGCATAGCTAGCAGGTTATCATCCACCACTCAGCAGTAGATGAACAGCGTTGCAGCATGCTCCCGGGCAGCCTGCGCCACAGGCACAGCCACCAAACCTTGAATAATCTTTCCTTACTGCATGCACGATTCACAATCGCATGCTCACGTCCTATCAATCCCATGATAGCGGCCTGTGCCCCCAAATTGTCTGGCTCGTCGTCGTTGCCGCCGGGCACATGCGGTTGTTGCCGGTGTCTGAACGTCATCTCTACGATGAGTTTCCTGTCAGGCCAGAAGCGTTATGAAGCGCAGGGAAGCAATGATGCTGAGGCTCAGGTGGCTACGCGGCTTTCGCAGTGGCTGGTGACCTGGATGGTTGACGGTGACGGCGCAGGCTGATCCAACTCCTGGTGAACGTTACATAACGTCCTGGCTTTGACAGAGGTGGCCTACTTGTCATATCTTTCCGGCATCCAATCATATAGCGCTGTGCCACATTGTGCATGCGTTTCGGTCTTGGTCTCTTCCCTGAGCAGGCAGCGATCCCCATTGGCACACCAACATGCTGGGACTGAACTTTAAGACATCGGGACAGTGCCGGGCCCCGCTCCAGCGCGCGGCCCTCGCCCCCTTCAGGAAGGCGAGCAGCAGGCGTGCCCAGATGCAGTTGCGCGCGGCTGCGGAGATTGAGACAAAGAGCGAAGGGAAGAAGAAGAAGGGTGCGTACCGTAGTATGAGCGCGTTGAGCAGCGAGATTGGATGGACGCTTGCTGATCAGCTCTGACCACCATCGTTTCGCGGCCGATTGCGCAGCCGAGGAATTCTCGGACGAGCCTGACATCAGCCCTAGCACCGCCCAGGTGCGAGCGCACGCGCAGCGCACTGCGATGGAATTCCCGCTTGTCCCTGGGGTGTGCCGATCGCGGTGGCGCATTTGGCACATCGTGCCGCGACATGCCAGCAGGCAAAGTCACCAGGCAATCTGCCTCCTCAACCTGGAGGGAGGCAGCGCATGTGACGAACTCTAACGAGGAGTCCCCATGACGAGCGAGGGTGCGACCACGCCTGTCAGCCAGCCCAAGCCGCACTGTCAGGGGCAAACTACCGTACCGCCGGCGACCTCACCACCACCCGCAGGTGCAGGGCTTCCTCAACACCCTGTGCGGCGAGACGGCCATCGCCCAGGTCGAGCTGAAGGTGTGTGCCTCGAACAAGCGGCGGCGGCGCCCTGCATGGCTGTGGGGCAGAAGGACAAGCTCATTGGCAAGGCAGGGGCTCGTGAAGGAAGCGTAATCGCTTTGGCTGCCGAAGCGTCGAAGAGCTTTCTCCCGACCCAGGTCTCCTATGCCTTTGGTTTCTCCTCAGCCGCCGCCCTCGAACGCCCCACATGTGCCCCACTGCCGCCACGCCGCGCAGCTCGGCTCCTTCTCTTTGAAGGTGACCCGCAGCCTCGAGGCCGCCGCCCCCGCCGCGCCGCCCGCCGCCGCCGCGCCCCCGCCCGCGCCCGCTGCACCGGCGCCGGTCGTTGTGCTGACCGCCGGCAACGGATCTGCGGCCTACGAGAGCATTGATGAGGCGCTCGTGTACGTCACGTCCCCCAAGGTGCGCCCAGGCGGCCTGATTGACATGATTGGGCGATCTGACGCCTGGAAGCACAGCAGGCAGGCCCACCAGATCAGCAGGCCGCCGCGTGGCAAATCAGGGTCGGTGTATCAGCTGTCGGTAGGCGGGGCCTCGGGGGAGCGTGCGGTCGTCGGAGAGTTGAATGCGCTAGCGGCTGAGCGCCGTGGTGGCAGTGCGTGCGGGCATCCCATATCGCGCGCGTTCAAGTGCGTGCGGGCTTGTTTGCGGCCGCAGGTTGGCATCTTCCGCCGCGGAAAGTATGCTGCCGGCAAGCGTGTGGGCAAGGGCGACCTGGTGAACGCGGTGAGCACCAAGCACCGGCCCTTGACGCCGCGGCGCCGCGAGCTGGCAGCGTGCGCTGGGGCCGCTCGCTGCTGGCGGCGCGCGGACAACGAGTGGCCTGCGGCAGCGGGGCTTGCCGACGATGCCGCGGCGCTGGCCTGAAGCGGTGCTGGCCCCACTGTTACTGCCCGCTGCCAAACGCGGCTGCAAGCAATACCGTATGCATGTTCCCATACGTGTTTACTCCAGCAGCACACCTTTACAGACACACACACACACACACACACTCGCGTGCGCGCCTGCGTTTTCCCAAAGGGGGACACCATTCGCAACGGCCAGACTATTGCTTTTGTGGAGCAGCTGGGCACCTTTGTCGACATCAAGGCCACCCAGGGCGGCGAGATCGTCAAGTTCCGCATCAACGAGGGCGAGCCCGTGGAATACGGACAGGTGGTGTGCGACATCGCCCCCCAGTTCGGCTTCATCTCTCCCGCTTCTGCCAACTGAGCCGCCCGGCTCTTTCAAGCGGCGGGACAGGGCGCGGAACAGCGGGCGCAGGGACGGCGGTGTCTTCAGCCGTGTGGTTGATGGGCACCAGGGCTGAGATCCGATGCATTCGACCTGGACATAGTCTGGCGCAACCTGCATATTGATCTTCGGCTCAAGTATCAATGATGTACTCCTGTACATAGCCTCTGACAGATGTTGGCATCGCTTGAGCGAAGAAATCTGGATTGATTGCGAGTCGCCCAGCACAAATAGTGGGGGCAGCAGGACCATCACTTTATCCCTGTAACTGTATCTGATTTCAGTGGCTGGGAGCCGCGGGACGGCAGATGCCGCCAGGGGATACCCTGGCTGCATGGATCTTGCGTCGCGCCTCTTTGTGTTGACTGCGGGCGCGTGCTGAGCTGGCACCCCCGCCAGCCAGACTTGAGCGTTTCAAAGGCCAGGCGTGTGTCCCTGCTGACCATCCCCCACTTGCTATCCTCGAGGCCTTGCCTTGCCACCCATATTCCCCCAGATCGTCGCACCCGCGCACCATCGACAGTATGTCGCGCCTCTCCTGCCCCAATGGCCTCGCCCAGCGGGCTCCTGCGGGCCGTACATCGTGTGTTGTGGTCCGTGCCGAGGCATCTGTGCCGCGCCGCGCGGTGTTGAGCTCGGTCGGGGCCGCGGCGCTGGCTGTGCTGGCAGCGGGGGCGAGACCCGCCGCGGCGCGCGATTACAAGGAGGCCCTTGCGGCGTGAGTGTCATGGGTCCGCATCGCATGCAAACAGGCGCAGCACTTGCCCGTGAGACTGCCGACGATTTGATGGCGGAGCCATCTCGTGCATGCCGTTGTTGAGCCAGCACCCTGCACCCTAGGCCCCGCACCATAGGCCCCGCGCCGGGGATGACCCAGGGAGCGCTCAGCCGGCAGCGCCGCGCGCCCCGCATGCTATTGACCTCACCCGCAGTAAGGAGGCGCGCAAGGAAAAGCTGCGCGCGGCGGCAGGCGGCATCAAGGACACTGGGAAGGACCAGCAGGTGTTCAAGGTGGGTGATGAAGCCGCGCCCGCTGCCATCGCTGTGCATCGTGTCTCGCCTGCCGCGCCTGCAACGGCGGCGCCCGCGGCGACTGGCAGAGAAAAATCTTTATTTGGCAAGCGGCCGTGTCATCTGCGGCGCCGCTGGCGAGGCGCCGCGCCTGCATGGCAGTGTCGGAGTCTTTCACGCCGATGGGCGTTCCCCCCCCCCCCCCC